TGAACTCTTAAAAAATCAGAGCTCAAACAAAGAGAAATCACATTTAGTGCTTAAAATTAGTACACTGGATTGCTCACTCTTAAAATCACCAGTTATAATAGTCCAGTGATGCTTCACTGTGGCCTGAGTCAATGTTCCCTTTTGTCAGGGAGGAGTGTAACAGAGATCTCAGGAATTCATTCCGGCCTGCCTCTGAAGGGTAAGAGGAAATGCTGGTATTTTCCCCTCTGCAGTGTTCCAGGGTGCAGCTTGGCTGGTAACCTCTGCAGGGCAGAACGCGCTAGCAGTCTGAGTCACTCTACCAGAATGCAGCTCATGTGCTCTGTTCCCGGTCTCAAATGACAGTGTCTGGTCATGAGGAGGCCCTGGGCTGAGAGTGCAGCAGAGCCGCAGAGAGAAAACAGGCGGAATAAAGGAGACAACATTTCAAGAGTTGAAAATCCCCATTTAAAGGAATTGGTTTGAAATAAAACCACATGGTAGCAATAGATAAGATGTGCTTAGCAGGCAACAGGTTCTTTCAGATAGTTTTCTTCTTTTCAGTTGTCTGGAAAATGACTACTTTTATCAATAGTGTATGTTATGGGTTGAATTTATATATTCAAAATATTGAAGTCCTAACCTCCAGCACCTCCAAAATGTGACCTTATTTGGAAATAGGGGCAATTTGCAGACAGAACAGTTAAGATGAGGTCATTAGGGTGGGCCCTAATCCAAAATGACTGGTGTTCGTGTAAAAAGGGGCAATTTGGACACAGAGACATGCCTAGGGATGATGTGAAGATGAAGGCAGAAGATGTGTGTGATGCTTTTACCAGCCAAGGACCATCAAAGTTCGCCGGCAAACAACCAGGAGGCAGGCGAGAGGCAGGAACGGATTCCCTCTCTTGCAGAGCCTTCAGAAGGAACTAATCCTGCCAACAGCAGATCTTAAACTTCTAGCCTCCCGAACTGTGAGACAGTACGTTTCTGTGTACGTCACCCAGCCTGTGGTGCTCTGTTTTGGCAGCCTGAGAAGACTGGCACAGTATGTATGCAGGAATACATCATAATGCGATTGAGCAAAATAAAAAGGGATCAAGTCATTGCCTGGTCATTGTTCTTTCTGAGGAATGATGCTAATGACTAAAAGCCCTTCAGGAGAGGCTTAGAGGAGGCGTAATACTATCTGGGGTTCGCAAGGGAACCATTCATGCAGGACTACCGGGCACATCCTTAGTTTCTTCAGTGGGACCTCATTCAAATGGAAAGATTTTCCTCTTCCCCTTAGATCTTAATATACTGTTTTTCTAGGGCGTAAACTAGGATGTGCAATCACCACTTCGACCTGCTGGCAAAACAATAAAGGCAAAGTGGGTTCCAGTTCAGCATGTGCTTTAATATCCATAAATTCTCGCCTTTCTTTTTTTTTCTGATTAAGGCTTTATTATTCTTAATGTTTATACTTCTTAGTTTTTAAAATGGATTTTGTTTTTGGCAACTTTTATTTTTCTATAATGGTTCCACCACTAAAATGAAGGATTGAAACAGAATCAAACCCACCTGTGTTTCTCTTTTGATAAATAAACTAGCAAGCAATGAAAAGGGCACAAAGGATCGGGGACAATGATAATCACTGAAGTGGAGGCCAATATGTGGTGTGTGCTGTAGTCAGACTCAGAATGCCCCAGGCGAGGCCAGGTGAAATGAGACTATAGTGTCTTTTCCGTGGTCCTAGCTTCTAAGTCCTGTCTGTAAGAAAGGCTAACCCCTGGCATGTTCCTGATAGGGCCATTTTTTATTCATTGCTCCTCAAAGTCACATTCATTCTGACTTCATATATTGAGCAAAGCATCGAAACTCAGTATTATTATAATTACTTCCTTTCTATGATAGGTCTTTCAATAACTTCTAACTTCTATAACCTTGATGAGATTACAACTAGCATTTGTGATCTATGCTACAATAAAAATAAGAGACAAAGGGTTTAGTAGCTTTCTCCCTATAACGAACGTAGAGGGCCATAGTCAACCATCTGTCAAATGCAGTGATTTCTACCTCCCAAACCAATGCTTCAATCTGAAGAACATGCTGTGTATGTTGCAAGGACACAAATCCTTCTAATTTTCTCAATATTTCTACCCAAGAAAATTAACTGGGTCACCAGGCAAATAAAGACCATGACATGTACAACTGTGGAACTGCAGCATTGCCAAGGACCGCTGACAATGTAAGGAATCTTCTTTCTCATTTCCCTGACATGCCACGGGACCTCCCGTTGATTGCTTCCCGTGACAACAGCTAACTATTTGCATTTTGGGACAGCTGGATGAGCAGTACTATCTACAAATATGTGGGCCATACTTCACTTGTTGTATGTCAGCCTTCAGCCATAATTATCTGGAAAAAATGAATCGGGAAGCCACAAAGAGGACTGACTTAGATGCACAGCTAGGTGGCTTTGCTTTTCTAGCTATTTAAATTCAAAAGGAAATAAAAATCAGATATCAAAGGAACAAATTTCAGACAATATGTACTAAATACCTACTATGTGTCCAGCACTGGGCCAGGAAATTAAAGGGAGATCAACTCAAAGATCACTAACCTCAATTCACTTAAAATATTGTCTAACTATAATTAAATATATGAAACAAGTTCAAATTAATGAAAGAGATAGTACAGTATAAGACCCAAGTTGGCCACTTAGACTAAATTTTGCAAGAGTTCAGAGGGTGGTTATTAAAAAAAAATGGAGAACTTATAAGCATCATCATGAAGTAACACGGTCTTGACCATACTTTGTAGAACAAGTGAGACTTATAAAGTCATAGGAATTAAGACTATTTCTTTGAGAATATATCTAGAGTTAAAGGGCAATTAACTCTAATTGCCCTTTAACTCTAGACAGCTGTTCCAAAACACACAAAATAAAATAGTGTTGATCCTGTCACTATTTTAAAAAGTGAGGACCCGGGAATGGGAAAGGAATGCTGAAATGTAGTCAAGTAAGAGAAGGAACTGGGGAAATGCCACTGCATCTCAGGATAAGCTGCTGGGAAAACCAAACCCCGCCCTAAACTTGGGGATTTTTCTAACTGACAGATTTAATAAACAATGTTCATTTCATCTTTCAGAGAAGATACAGAATGTTACCGAGTTCCTTTGCTGTTTCTCAGTCATCTTTAATATCTCCATTCTGCACAAGTGAAAAGTTCCCATTCGGCTGATTAGAGTTTAATCTGTGTACCCTCTTTATATCTTCCCAGAAAATCATACAGCACTTCCAAGATGTACTTAACCCCCTGATTAATTACTGAGCCTCTGTGTAAATTACTGTCAAGATTAAGATGATCATTTTATCACTTTTTCAGCTTGATAAACACTTACAGTTTAACATGTCTGACAAAGCCATTTGTATACCCCTGTAATATAAATGAAGGTACATTAAAGCTATGGTAAGTCTACAATACTAATAGCCTTCAAGTACTTTGCTAACTACAGACAGTTTCCTAAGCAATTACACGATGTTCTATGTTAATTTAGAATGAAATTCCAAACAAGGCATTTAAAACCTAATAAGATGCTATTAAATGAAGGGAGACAGGGAGGGAGGAAAGAGAAAGAAAACCCTAAGGCTTGAACTAGGAGAAATGATTTTCAGAGCTACTGACCCTTGCAAGATCCACGTTTTCCTTGGACTTTTAGACACAAAACAGATTTCTAATTGAAGGTGATTATCTAGTTACTACATCCCAAATTGCATGTATTTCTTGTTTTGAGTTACATCAACATCTAATTATATGAAGCACTGATCAGTTTGAAAGTCCATAAAAACTGGTGAGTTTCTACATACAATGAGAATGTGTTCTATAAACTATGAGACACTATATAACCACCATGCCTGATTATCTTAAGTGACAATAGTTGCCTCCTGGTACTCATGTGGATCCAAGAACTGAATTACAATATCAATCAACAGGGAATACATTAAAGAAATCACAGAAAAAACAACAACAACACCTGGTTTGCTCTTGGGTTTTCTGAGGTGTGGACACCCATATGCATGCCTGCTATTCCCTAGAAATATACATATTGATACAGTCACCGTTACCATGAGGAAAAAAACAAAAGTATAGCAACATACAATTAAAACCAAAGACAAATTTCTATGCTGCAATTTTTATCTCCATCAATATGACTTGAGAGCTCAGTGCCTCAGACAGAGGTGGGTAGTTTGACCAAGGCAATATTTATAATAATAAAAGGGTAATATGCTAATTAGACAGGACAACCTTCCAGACAAAGCCGGGTCCCTGGTGCCAGAGGGAAGCCAGTGCCGGCAGCCGGGGTAAGGAAGGCCTACTCTTGCATGAATTTCATGTATCAGGCCTCTAGTAACAATATAAAGAAATACACAAAGTTCTGCACAGCACAAGTGTGCCTCTGTAAAATATAATTCCCATTAGTGAGGTTAATTAAGATTAACACACAAGTCATTGAAAATCCCCAAAGTAGACAAAGGATAATTTACCAAGGAAGCACACAAAGACTAGAGTAGCATTCACTCCGAGTCATTCATTGAAGGGATTGGAAGGAGGGTCTTATTAATACTTGAGATGTCACCATTGGTTACCAAAATGATAGGTATCCAATCAGCTTACAAAGGCCAAAGGACAGCTTATTTTCTTAGAAAAGTTCTATGAACAATTCAGGGCAGTACACAGAACAAAAAGCAAACCAGAAGTGAATCCAACCAAGTGTATAATTATTGCTATCAAACAGGTTATACTCACACATACACGTGCATATATTGTTTTACTGAGATGAATCAACAGCACTCATCGACTTAGTATAGTGTTTTCACCCCACATAATGACCTGCATTTCTAATCAAACCTATTGCAAAGAAGTATTCACAGCAAAAGCCAAACACTGACTTATGTGGTGGAGAGCGCTGCACCCCAGGTGCTCAGACGCCATCGTGGAAATCCTATCATTGCCAAAAAGCATTCCCTCCCTTACCTCCAGGGACATGTTCACGGTACTGATGGCCACTTTTATTTCTCCATCTGTCAGTTCTTTTAGGTCCTTCAACATTGTCTGTTCAATACTTAAACCTGTGGATGAGAAGGGAAAACAGTATGTTATATTTGGGGAACTTTTTTTTCTAGTAATTTCAAGGAATGGTAAATTATTTATCCTGTTAATTTCAATATTTCCCCACTAATAATGCTTTTATCCATCATAAACACACACACACACACACACACACACACACACATTAAGGCAAAAATCACAATAGTGACAATATTTGCATCATTTAGGATCCCAGCAGGTAAAAGAATTCACCCCCCATAAGCCAAAAGAAGATTCTTTAGTGGCAGGACACTCACAGAGCTGTGGGCAGGACTGAGAGTGAGAATAAACCATGGTGAGCACCCAGAAGCTGGCAAAGGGACATGGGAAGGAAGCAGAGGTCTGGACCTGCAGAAGAGGGGCTGCCGGAGACAGCGCCAAACCAGGAAGGGACCCGGGAAGGAATAAGATAGCCTCTCTCTTCTTCCGGAGACCCTCATGCCCCACCTGTTACTAATTCCTCCCATTAACCAAACCCAATCAGAAGGCAATAATCTTCAGGGAGCCCATAGCAAACAAGGCCTGCGGATACAATGGAGGGAGGTGGGCAAACAAAAACTATCATACCCATTACTCGGCAATCTGGCCAAATAATACCTAACAAGGCCATACTTTGCTTTCTGGATGCATTTGGGTGAGCCCCAGGTTTTCTAGTACAATTTTATTAAAAATGCACTTTATAAAAGTGACCCATAAAACTGTCATAATTAAGCTGGTCCCCCTTGTAATAGGCTCTGACATAGGAGATACCGAATTACTTAAACGATGGGAGAAATCATCTGGAATGGTGAAATGATCCGGACTGCATAGTTGTGGTTGGCTGACCAATGTGTTTCTATGAAGTCTATGGCCAAAACACAGGAAAGGGTCTGGCTTGACATTTAATAACCTCGCCCTCGGTTAGTATATCTGACTAGAACTATCCTCTTGGGAAGAAGACCCATCAGAAAGCCCAGCACAGCACATACATCCTTCCCGGATGCATGAGGACACCAGAGTTGATCACTTGCCTTCCTCCCAGTTTAGAACGCAGTCAATCACAGCAGTCTGGGAAACACGTACTAAATATGTTTCTGTGACTCGAAGATTGAAAGGCTGCACTCTATCATACTTTGGTATGAAATGATTTATAGACTATGATGTGACATTGAAAGTTCGGCCTAATTTTAGAGATGAATGACAAAATGCACACCATCGTGCAGCTATGCATACCGTATTGCCACACAGGTGCATCGGTAACAGAGAGTGTGGAACGCACAGGGCTCCACCCACAATTGCCACTGCAGTGAGCCCAGCATGACGCTCAACCAGCAGCACCTGCATCTCCTTTCCTGGGGGCTTTCTCTGGCCACCAGAGGCTGCACTGGGGGAAATGACAGCCCCAGGGACTGAGTAGCCATCAATATCCCAGGGATATTGGTAAATGTCAAACAATCAGCAACAAAAGCCAATTTGTAGTTCATGTAGTATCTGTCAATTTCTCTGGTGTCAATACATCTACAGAGCGAATGCTGTCATGCTGCCAACCTAAGACCAACTCACAAAATCCCTGAAACTAACCATCAGCTCCTGGAGCTCCCACAAGTTCCAACACACCACTGCGCTCGCTCTTCCTCAGGTGGGATAACCCTGAGGTGCAAGTTTATACTCTTTCCCAGGGCTCCCTAGTTGGATGAAGGCCTGATTGCCCATGGAGCTAACTCCATCCCCTGTCAGTGTTCTCTGGGGTCACATCTCCGATAAACTGCTTTGCCACAGGCCCTGCCCCTGGGCAATTCCAAACTAAGGGAGAAAGCTTTGCACCTCAAAGGTAGGTTGTCTGGGTATAAATCCTGGCCCGGCCACCTGGCAGCTGTGTGTGTGATGATGCTAAAGCAACGAGGCCTCTCTGTGCTCCCGTGTTCTCACCTAGAAATTGGGGATAATAACAGCACCTGACAGGGTTGTCTCGGGGACTCGGTGAGGAATCCATGCAGTTAATGCCATCGGAACCTTGTGTATCTTAGGCACTCAATGGATTGTAGCTATTTATTATTATTATTATTATTATTATTATTATTATTATTATTATAAAACAACTGATCCAGGGAATCTGCTGTACTGATAAAGCCTAGACTTGGAGAACAATTCTATCTACTCAGCTGTCTCCTGTTTATTCTATTTTCTAAAATTAATTGATTTACAAAACCTCACTGTGCTTGACATTCATTGCTCAGGAGGGAGATTTCATGTCATCATCTGGGGTGAGCATGTGAGTTAGCCACACACTCAGACACGAAGGCCTCAGAGGACAGGCTGCCTGCTTCCAGGTGAGCCGACACCAGGTGCCTAGAAATCGTCCACAAGTGTGAGCAACAGGGAACAAAGCGCAGGCGCAGTCATATTCACCTACTGGGGCCTGGCAGCACTTCATACCGACACCAGCCCTGCTCGGAGCTGCGGCAGAGCCGGGACGATCACTCACCTTGGGCCCCGGGGTGGCTCTCCTGCAGCACGGTGATGATGTCCTCTCTGGGCGGTAAGCTAGGGAACTTTTCTTCCAGGATGGAAAGAACTTCCTCCTGCTTCTCTGAGATCTTCTCGGATTCCATGGTCATGTACTTGAAAAGGATGCTACCTACAAGGCAGGAATAAAAACAGCCTTAAACGTTCCACCCAAGCCAGGAAGCGGCCAGGAAAAGCAGTGTTTGCTGGCCCCTCCACCTCTGCTTCCACTTGCCGTTTCTTGCTGGAGCAGGGGCCTCCACAGTGTAGCATTCAAGAGGTAATTTTTAGAAAATCCACTGGTTACCATCTGCCCTCTCTCATTTTCTCCGGATATTAATCTCTACAACTTAACTGACCATCGCACGCTCTATGCAACAGAGTTTTATGGATAAAGGAACAAAATATATAGCTTTTCCCCACCCCACACAAATACATAAAAATGGTAAATGTTAGTTTTACATGATTTCAGAATGAAAGATAATGGTAAGCCCAGACAGCATGGCTCAGTGGTTGAACATTGACCTATGAACTAGGTCACAGTTCAATTCCTGGTCGGGGCATATGCCCAGGTTGTGGGCTCAGTCCCCAGTGAGGGGCATGCAGGAAGCAGCCAATCAATGATTCTTTCTCATCATTGATGTTTCTCTCTCTCCATTTTCCCCCCTCTCTGAAATACCTCTCTCTCTCTCTCTCTCTCTCTCTCTGCATTATTTATTTCTTAAAGTGTACACCAAGTCCAGCCAGAATAAAGCTTTTCCTATTGCATTTCAACTGCAGTAAGACTATGCTGGAAGGAGAAAGTCTCCTTTCTTCATCATTTTCTGATATGACATTTATATTTGCTAATAACATAGCCTCTAAATATGTAAAGCAAAAATGGACAAAATGGGATGAAAAGAGATAAATATACAGTCACAATGGGAAATTTTAACACATTTCTCTCACCAACTCTAAAAACCAGTAGAAAAAGTGTATAAAGATGTAGAATATTTGAGCAACCTGAACAACAAATTTGACTTAATTCACATATATTGAACATTGCTATCAACGATGACAAATGAAACATTTACTCAAATTGACCACCTGTTGGGGCATAAATCAAATCTTAACAAATTTCAAAGCATTTCAATTAGTTATATTCTGTGACCACCACATGAACAGTCTGAAAATCATAATAAAACAAAACCTAGAAAATTTCCAAATTTTTGAAAACTAAACAATGCACTTCCAAATAACTCATGGTAAAAGAAGAAATCACAGTCCTATATAATAAAAAGGTAATATGCAAATTGACCCTAACGGCAGAACAACCGGGAATGACTGGTTGCTTTGACGCACAGAGACCACCAGGGGGCAGATGCTCAACACAGGAGCTGCCCCCTGGTGGTCAGTGCGCTCCCACAGGGGGAGCTCCACTCAGCCACAAGCCAGGCTGACAGCTGAGAGCACAGCAGCGGTGGCGGGAGCCTCTCCTGCCTCCTAGGCAGCGCTAAGCATGTCCAACTGTGGCTTAGACCCACTCCCTGCAGGCCTAACAGTCGGACATCCCCTGAGGGATCCCAGGCTGCCAGAGGGATGTCTGACTGCCAGCTTAGGCCCAATCCCTGGGGAGCAGGCCTAAGCCAGCAGGTGGACATCCCCCGAGGGCTCCCAGGCTGCGAGAGGGCTCAGGCTGGGCTGAGGGACCCCCCGAGTGCACAAATTTTTGTGAACTGGGCCTCTAGTGTAAAATATATGTTAATTGAATGATAAAGAAAATATGACATTTAAACTTGTGGAATGTAACTAAAGCTGTGCTCTGAGGAAATTTTATAGCCTTAAAAGCATAAGATATTAAAAGAAAACCCAGCCCTGGCCAGTGTTTCTCAGTGGTCAGAGCGTAGGCCCATGCACCAAAGGGTCTCGGGTTTCATTCCAGGTCAAGGGTACGTACCTGGGTTGCAGGTTCCATCCCTGGCCTTGGTTGGGGTGTGTGCAGGAGGCAACCAATTTATGTGACACTCTCACATCAGTATTTCTCTCTCTTCCTACTTCACTTTCTAAAAATCAACTGAAAAATGTCCTTGGGTGAGGACTAACAACAAAAACAACAAATCTAAAAAAAATAAAACCCAGAAAGTTCAACTAAAAAATGTAGAAGGAAGGATATAATAAAGATAAAGCAAAACGTAAAGGCATAGGAGACAAACACATATGAAGAAAATTAATAAAACCAAAAGTTGACTCCTTGAAAAGATTAATATAAAGAGTTTTGGAAGGATGAAGTTAAAAATCTGGATGTTTCTTTTTTTATTTAAAAATAAATCCAGCCCTAACTGGTTTGGCTCAGTGGATAGAGTGTCGGCCTGCGGACTGAAGGGTCCCAGGTTCGATTCTGGTCAAGGGCATGCACCTTGGTTGCAGGAACATCCCCAGTAGTGGGTGTACAGGAGGCAGCTGATCGATGTTTCTATCTTTCTACCCTTCTCCCTTCCTCTCTGTAAAAAATCAATAAAATATATTTTAAAAATAATAAAAATAAAAATCATTCTATAGTTTAATACCCATAGTCCCAAACATTTAAGAAAGAAATATACTAATTTTACACAAATTCCTCCAAAGAATAAAAAGAACACTTCCCAAATTATTTCTTGGATTCAGCATAATCTTGACAACAATATTCAATAGAGACATTACAAGAAAGAAGAATTAGAGGCAAGCCTCTCATAAACACAGATTTAAAAAAATATTTTAAACTAGTCCCAAATCAAATTAGCAATATGTAATGGGATATCATATAGTCACCAGGTAGGGATTTCCTAGAAATTCAAGGACAAATTAACATTCAAAAAGTAATCAACATAACCTGCTCTATTAATAGAATAAAAGAGAAAAAATCATGATCACCTTAAATGATGTCAATCGTAAAACTACTTGATAAAAGACAAGATTTAATCCTTATATACTAGTAAAATCTCAGCCAAGTAGAAATAGAAGACAACGTCTTTATTTTGATGAAGGCATTTATAAAAACCAAGTACAGAAAGCAAACATTATATTTAATTGTGAAGTATTGAAAGCCTTCCACCTTAAATCCAAATGAGACAAGAATGCCTGCAATGACTATTTCCATTCAGTAGGGCACTGTGAATACTAGCCAGAGCAGTAAGGCAAGCAAAAGAAGTGTATGTAAGTAAAGGAAAAAAAGGAATAAACACATCTTCCCTCAGAGATTATTTGTGTCTGTAAAAAAATCAAAGAATCTACAAATGAGCTTAAAATAGTAAGTAAATTTAGCAAGTTGGACATAAGTTTAATAACACAAAATGTGTATTTCTATAAATAATAATAACTTGAAAATCAAATTTAAATATTAAAAAACTGTAATCACATCAAAATATAAGAAACATAGGAATTTAAAAATGTGCCTGGCTTACAGTCAAACCAATAACCCAATTTCTTTTACTTGAGGCTCTTAATTTTTAAAATACATACTATAGAAAAGGGATACTCAGAAGTTAATCTAACAGATACTGCACTAAACAGAGTCCTACAGAATAATTCAGTGAAAAGAGATTGACACTGGTTGATGATGAAATGTGACTTGACAATTAGAAAGGAGATGATGTACTAACACAGATGGAGAAAAATAATGAGCATCAAAAAGACAGTCACCATACTCTGAGATGTGTCTACTGCATAAGAAAAGCTATGGCCCAAATTTATCCAAGAGACTCATCTAGAGAAATTTTTATTCTTCACATTAGAGACCCATGCAACTACACACTTAGTTGCCTATCAGTATCAGGATATACAGTAGCCAAAGGCAACTCTTTACAAAATCAAACCTGCTTTTGGAGTAAGTTGATCTAACCTCCAGCAAATTCTGCAGAACTCAAAAACTACTTAAGTCCATACACTGTACCCAAAAGCATCCCAGCTATTCACAGGCCAGAGGGAATTAACAACAAGCAACAGAGAAAGCAATTATTATAAAATAGTAACAAACATTTCATTCCATTAGGAAAAAGTCAACCGCAATCTTCTTTGTTGAAAAGAATGGAGAAGTGAAGGACCACTTGCCAAAAGCAATTGCAATACATTAATATTAAACATGAGCTAACGAAGCCAGAAGTTGTTTGGGGAAAACATTCACCACAGTAAAGGCATATTCTGCAGGATAAATTCTTAGCAGAAAAGAAGGGACTTAAATCTTGTTTCTTGTTTCACCTGGGAGAGATTTTTTTTCATACAGAAGCAAAAACATGAAAGAATGAATAATAGAGGGAGGGAAAGAGGAAGGAAAAAAATATAGAAAATACAACTTAGCTCACATTTTTAGCTGAAAAGGGATGAAAAAAAAACATTATTCAAGTGCTTAATAATCTTATAAATTTTAAATGTCTGATTTTAATAAGGCTTATCTTCGTACAGCAGAAGAATTAACACTCTGAGGTTGGAGAATTGTTCTGGTTTTATATTTTGCTGAAAAAATAATTTCTTTCCCCTACTCCCAATACAGGCCTTTCCTCTTCCTAAGCAAAACAAGCAACGTAATTCCCTTGGACTCTGTAACCATTTCAGGAGAGGGATGATTCACTCTTGGGGCAAGAGGGGAAAAAAAAAAGCTGGCCCTCTTCCTTTCCTATTTGAGCTCCTTAAAAGGACCTTTATGAAGCTGTTAGTCCAGGCTACTAAAATAGCAGGGAACTATTCTTTATTAAAGCTGCCAATAGAAAGGAGAGAAACTGTTTCCTGAAAACCAAGGGCTTCGTTTTTCCACGTCCTGAGCTAAGAACAATTGCTGTTATTTGTTTCACTGTTCATACTGTGGCTCTGCCAAGGCCTTATACAAAGACATGTGAGAGATCTTTTGAGGAAAGTGTTGTCTTGTTGAAAACATGCCTGGTAAATGGCTGAAATCCCATCATTGCCAGCTGGTTCCTGAAACACACACACACACACACACACACACACACACACACACACACACACCCCTCCAATGCGATGATTCAGCGATTTAATGTTCCTTAAATTTGGCAACAGTCCTCTAGTACACATCTCTGGGGAAATAAAAGAATATGGATTGAGGAGGCTGGCGGGTTTACAGTAATTGTTTGCTTTGGGCACAAACCCCAGGCATAATCAAAT